CCTGTTTTCAGCTCAAATCCCAAATATCACGACGAAAAAAAGCCAAATCCCGCATCCCGCCAAACCTATTGGGGACCCTCTCGAGTTGAAGGGTTGAAACGAATTTTGAAATTATGGGAACTTTTGGACAACATAGAAAATCTTTTAAATATCAAAGATGGCGAATGTTTATCGCATTGCGAATGACTTCGCAATCCACCAGAATTTCTTACTCTTCTAATGCAAAAAACAAAACAAAAACCGAGACTTCGTTAATTGTCACACTAGTGGGACGTTGTTAGAAATCTTGATGATTTTTGCAACGTGATAACGAAAGCCCTGAGTCTATTCAAGTCTCGGAGATTGGATTTTGCCCTCAGCTGATTCTTGTTTTCTCCGACTGATGAGCAAACTAGAGAGAATATAATGCTCTACTCTACCCATATCCTAAGTGTCAAAAATCCCATTCTAGACACGGTTAACCAATTCAAGACTTTTTTTCATGAAAAAGCAGTTGTATAACGCTGTAGATGTCTTTTTCTCGGCGCCATTTTAAGATATTATCGCCAAACGGTGAAGACCTCATTAGAAATTAAAAATCAGAATTCTCTTCAACTGTTTGGCTCGATATCCCGCTATTTTTGGAGTCCAGTTGTTGATCTTCCTCGCAACGTATGGTGCAGTGTAGGGCACGGAACATTTGCGTATCACCGTCTGAGTACTTCAGGAAAGGGAAACCTTTTCGCAGGCTACCCCTGGGCAAGTGACTTAACATTCTCACTTGCCCGATGGGCAAGAGATCAAGCAAGTCATCTGCCGACTAAATCATTAAAAGAGCAAACTAAGACTTGCCCAGGGCAAGCAAAATTTGAGAGCCCAGAAGCGTTTTCCTTTGTAGGATGAATACAGGTGCTGTAAAATGTTAAGAGGTCTTTGGTCGGAATGTTTGCCCTTTTTATTTGTCTAATCTAGTTGGTACCTTATTAGATATCTCTACTACATGTAATCCATTAGAACTCTAATCGTTAATGCCGTTGTGGTTTCTGATAATTCGCTGTACACATGTTAGAATTACATGGGCTCTCGGGATCCCACCGAAATAGGTAATTACCTGAAAGTTCGTTGGCTACTTTGGTCATTGTACGCAATTAAATATTGTTTCTTCTAGTTAATCTCTATCTGTATTTATTTTTCCTATATCATTGTGAACCATCTTACATTAAGTTGCTTTTTCTGTAAATAATGTGCGATAATAAAAAAACTGAAACTGAAACTGAAACGTACCAGTCGTAACAATTATTGGATGACGTTGAGCAAGATATCGTGATGTGTCAGTGGCGAGCAGTTTTCACATGAGTGGCGAAAGCATTGCGAATTTCCTTCGGTTTTCCATTACCATGCTGTCTTTTCATAGTTCCACCGGCCTGAACACGTTTAACTGAAGTTTAGAGTTGAACACATTTTTAGGCCAGACTTGCGTATGTTTGCGTGTGAGGACGTACGTTTAATGCATAGTAAAACGAACCAGTAAACCACTCAATTAAGAAAGCCGCAACGCTCACAGCTGATTCAACCGGTCTACATCCAAACTAAAGGTATTTTTTTGTTGTTTATGACTGCTACTGCTATCGTGTTGCACTTCTGTTGTACAAACGGAAATATGTCGTCGCCCACCTGAAAGGATTTCGATACCGGCAGCTTTCATCTTACGGACTGGGTTTCAACAGACGCGGAACACGAGCGCATCACATAAAGTGATTCGAATCAACAACAGATCGATTCGCGCTGCAATTGTACTGTGAACTTACGGTCAAATAGGACTCCTCTGCTCTTTGTGTGGAAAGCTGACGGTCTTGCTCTTCGTCGAAGAAAACTGTTTCAACTTCAAAAGCGGTTAGTTTACTTAAGAAACAGTTAGGGGGATGTAAAATCCATATATATCCAAAGCGTTATCTCTAATGATGAACAAATCAGACATTATTAACGTACTGGACAAGGAAGAAATAAGGAATCACGATTTCTTAACATCTTCCCGTGAGGCAAATATATGGGTATGACATATATTTTATGAAGCTTGCC